CCAACCCACTCGTTAACCCACCTTTCACCTTCCACTAGCCACTATCCACACACACACAAACACACACGTGAATTTTCTGTTCCGTTCGTTTCTTCTGTTTTTTTAACCGAATGCATTTTTGTGATTTCTCTCCTCTTTTAATTTAGTTATAAAAACTACATCAATATGAATGACTTTCTAAAGTAAGTGGCCGACGCCGCCGTGCATGTTGCAAAGTTGCATTTAAGTAGCACTTAAGCACCACGACCCCCAAAAACAACAACAACTACACCACAACCAGAACCACCAAACGACCCCAACAAAACAAAAAAGTAACCACCACAATGCGCGACACAAAGAAGAAAGCAGACAACCAGAAGTCCCGGCAGTACACACAGAAGGAACCAAAAAGATGGAGCCCCAGCCTCCACTGAAGTCCAGTCGAGGATGAAGTAAGCGTCCTGTCTGTCGCCCAAGTGTTTGTTGCACATTATCCATACCAAGGGGGCCACGATCCCCACGCCATCTCTCAGTCTCTCTGTCTAACATCTCTCTCCTGCATCTCGCATCTCTGTTTGTGGCTCTCCTCTCTCTTTCGCTTAACTGTTGTTGGTGGTCTTCTGATGGTTTCCTTCTCCTTCTCTTGTTCGTACTGTTCGTAGCATTCATCGATCCTGATTTTATCCGAACATCTGTGATATTAATTCCCGAATTTGGTTCTGTCTTGCAGTGGTTGAGAGTGTCGTCGCAACAGATACAGAAGATTCCAGTAGCCGCGTGGCGGGTCCGTGGATAAGTTGCAGTTGCAGTTGCAGCGGCGATTGCATATTAAATTTAAATCAATGAAACACCAAGTTGCCTTTGTCGCCAAACAGCGAAATTCAAGTGCTTTCTTACACTAATTTAAGTACTGCTCGTATCTGAGAAAAAGAAAAACTAAATTTTACACGTAATCACATAGATTTTAACCAGGAAAAGAGGGACACAAGGGGGAGGCGAGGTATTTTTAAAACTGATAATTGAATTGATTCCCCTCGTACTCCGAACATAAACATAAACTATAAACCATAAACTAAATTAAACTATTTGTACCATATACCATAACCTATGTAACGATCGCTAGAGACGGCAATTTTTGATTTGTTTTACCCCAAATTGGATTGTTTGTCCCCATCGATTGATCGATTGATTGAAATTATCCCAAAAGTATTTGTTTTTTTTTTGTCTGTCTGTTTGTTCTTATTTTTGTTTCTTCCTTTTATACATATGTAAGTCAAATTTTGTAAGCGGATGCGGCGCTACCCTTTTTTAGTGAAGTAAGCCCTAAATTATTTATGTTTTAGCGATTAAGTGATAAGAGAAAGAGGAGTCGCTGCAGTTGAAATATGTTGATACATAAAATGATTTTACCTATTGATATATACACCCCCAAACCAGAATAAAAACATTTTTAATATAAATATACAATCACCAAACTCATTCATTCTTACCTGATTTTGCTTTCCTTTTCCCTTCTGGAATCGTCCGATTCTTTAAAGTTTAAATAATTATCGTTCTGGCGCCCTCAGACGATATTTACATATACATATATACATACATATTTGCATTCGGGACCATCAGCCGTAATATAATCGATAAGCGCCGGCATACAACGCTCTTGTTTTTGCACATCCACTAAATTGGCGCGATTTTTCCATTCCTGCTTGTTTTGTTGTTTAATTAAATTGCTTTAACTTGCTGTAAATATGTTTCCGCAAAAATTATCAAAAGTATACCGTACGCCTAGTGACCATCAGCCACCGGCAGCCAAAAACCTGGCCGGCAACCTGGAGTATCCAAATCTTAATGCTGCCGATGTACGTGCACAGCCGGCCAATATTTCGCGCCAACTGCACGAATGTTGGGACAGCATTGCCATTAGTGAGGAGAAGGAGTATGTGCTCGCCACCAACCGTCGCCATGGATGCGATTGGCGGGGTATGTTTTTTGGCTACTCGGAGAGTAACGTCGGTCACATGACCGTCGAAAATGCGGACTTCAAGCTGCAATCGGATCACGTCGTCAACATTGTACGCTATGCGGACAACAATGTGCTGCTGGTGGCTCCGGGAGACACAGAACTGCAGGCATGGTCAACACGCTCGGCCGTCTATAATTCGAAGGACCCTTTCTTTCTTTTCGAACTGGACAAAGCCGTAGCCCACAATTCGCCGATTAGCCACATGAGCGTGTTCAAAGCGGATCCACAAAAGTGTGTGTCCGCGTGTGCCAGTGGGGACTTGAAAATGTGGTCTATTATCGAAGCCGGTCTGAAAAGCTTCTATCACGCTCGCTTCTCACATTCAGACAAATTTTCGGGCCTGGCCACGCCCGCTATCACTGCCAGCCAGTTCGTTACTTGCGATCGCAGTGGATGCTCCCGCCTATGGGATGCCCGTGCAGGATCGCCCTCTTCGACGACCCTCTTCAACGACGCTGCTCGTGCGCTGAGCTTCACTTGCGCCGCCTGGGCCGCTCCCTCAGAGCTCCAGGGCGAAAATCACGTTTATCTGGGGGACTTTGATGGAAATGTCCATATCGCGGACATTCGTGTGCCATGCAAGCTGCAGGAGACGATTCAATGCTTTGAGAACGGCGTTGTGTCACAGCTCGAGATCAATGGAGCTCATCTGGCGGTCATGAGCAATATGCCCGCTTCCGTGAAGATAGCCAGAGTAAACGGAGACGGAAAACCCGAATTTATCTACACCAAGGAAAACATCCACAAGCGCCAAACGGACGCCATATGGACCGATTCACGCACACTCCTCACCGTTGGACACGGCCGCAAAATGGCCATTCATCAACTGGAACTCGCCAACTCTTCTGTCGATTGCGGCGACTAAACCTGCATATTGCATTATCCCTACATTTTTGACGACAATTTTTAAGAATGATCCGTAAAAGCAGAGAGGAATCACTCAGCTTTATTTCTTCATTATTTCCGATGAAAACGGAACTTATGTTTTAATCGTTTCTTATAAGAGTACATACATATGTATATTAATCATTTTGTTCAATCGCAGGGAATGCTCCCTCAGAGTTCCAGCGAAAGAATCACTCAGTTATCATTTAGCAACGAACAGAGCTATGCTCTAAAATATGCCTGTGATCTGATCCCTCAGAGCTCCAGTGCAAAAACTATTTAGTTGTATCTATTGTGCCTTATCATAAAGAGTCAAACAGGGCTATGCTCTAAAAAAAAGGCTGATAAACTGGCTGTTTACATCAGGTTCAATAAAACTAACCCATGCTTTAATCTTTTTATGAACGACGGATGCGCCTCCTTCTATAAGATGGTTGTGGCTTGGTTGGCGACTGATCTGATATGGGCACCTGTGATTGGATCCTTACAGCCACCTTAAAAAACAGGTGCTGGTCATAACAAAATGAATAATGTCTACAGAAATCGCAAATGTTTCAAGTAAATGTTTATTAAATTTCAGAATATGTAACGTAACGATAACAATAACGATTAAAACTAGTTTTTGCGACTGAAATTAATTAAGGAAATTAAATATTTAAAACATTCTGATGAGTTCTGATTCTGATACTGTATAGCACTATTGCCGTATATAGATGTGCTAGTTCATACACCAAACCTATCGCAAAGGAACTTCCTGGATTAGATCCCAGGGTCTTCGGATCTGGCGTTCGGTTACCGCCACGTCATCATGAGCCATGCTCCGCGGGCGATTCCACCCTAGCTCCTCGTCCTCTCGGGGGGTCCATAGGATGTGATAGTAGATACAAAAGTCGTTCTTCTTATTTATTCATTTATGCCAAACTAAGTTTTGATGAATAAAACTATTGGAAAAAAAATCACCCTTGCTGTATCCTGTATGCGGAACACTATCCCGATTACAAAAAGCGTGGCACGCGTAGATCCAGTCACAAATAGCGGAGAAAACTAAACTTTTTGAGCGAGGAAAATGTCCTTGATGCTTAATTTGTGGCCCGATCGGGGCCATGGCTCACAGTGATCAGAAAAAGATCCAGTATTTTTATCAAATGGAAATCCTGACTTTAACAATGAGGCCGATTTTTGGCAAATTTAATGATGTAACCATCATGATTTTGTGCGAAAATTTTGAAAAATGGATGTCCTTTTTTCTGATGGCAGTCGATTGGCAAGACTCTCCCAATCACGGAAAGACATGGCTCTCCCAGATCGGCCACCCTATTGCAGAGATATAGTGTGCAGAAGAAACCAGTATTTCAATGATATGCCAATCTTCGGTAGGCTATATCTCACCGATCTGACCCTAATTATCTGAGATATAGCTACCGAAGATTGGCATATCATTGAAAAACTGGTTTCTTCTGTACGCTATATCTCTGCAATAAGGCGGCCACGATTTTCGCAAAAAATCATAATTTATCCTTAGTTCTAACAGCAACGATATTTAGCCATCCAGAAGCACATCTTTTGGACCACCCAAGGACGAAGAGCTATTGCAGAGTCACCTTCAAAAGAGAACAAACGATTTTTTTGGGGCAGAAATCGAAGGAATATGTAAGTATTATCCGTTTAAGGAGTTTAAAAAATGCAGAACAAGGACAAGTCTCTATTACTGAAAAAAGCAACCAATTTGATTAGTTGTTCAACAACTTTTCAGTGTAACCATGGGCAAAGATCATATATTAAATTGAAATAGGCAATAAACAATGTATTCAGTCACAATACTTGTAGAGTGGAATGAATAATCAATAAGAATTTATTCCCAGCGTACTAACCCTCATTTTACAAGTTAAACAGCCGATGTCGTGATTTTCTCTTGGCTGCTTATTATCGTCTGAACGGCAAAAGTGCTTTAGGAATGCTGCACCTAATATGAGTATAACTTGCGCGCGGGCTGCCACCGCCGCGACCGATATATCGATAGAATCATCGATCAGGCTTACAACTCAGCTCTATATCTGGTGGTGTACCTACGCGCCGCATTTCGAATGTTTCGCGTAGATGGGTGGGTGCATTCATCATTCAGTCATTCATTCTTCTCGATTGCACCGGCGCAGACGAGCCACGAACCGTGCGGATCGTTGACTATTCAGCTCATAATATTTTTCGAAACCATTCTAACGCGACGCCCTTTGAAGGGACCCCAGAAACGTGAATTGTGCGTTGAAGCTGCGATCGTCAGATATATACGTATATTTTTTTTCGTGTTGCCCCATAAGTGCGAAGCGAAGTGTAGCGGAAATTGTGCAACTAATTGATTGATCGCCTGACGATTGCATTGATGGATCGATATACGCAAGTGTGACCATAGCCACCAGCCATGTCTGCAGATCGGTGGAGCACCAACAGCAGCACTCACATCCCAATCGGATCCGATCCCCGAGGAAAATAGTATGAAAATATGAGGCACGCTGCAGATTGAAAGCACATCGCAGAAGAAAAAAACAAACAAACAAACAAACAAACGAGCGAAAAAAGCGACAAAAAAGTGAGTGATTTATTCGACAGCAGACCCAATGCCCCTACATCCATACACACTATCCACACACACATGTATCTACCAGAGAGGAGATACATATGCATATGTTCATATGGATGTAAATCCACGAGTACATATATGTTCCACAGAACAGAACAGAACATTATGTTTTGTGTGTTATGGTTTATGGTTTTGTGCCCGGTTCGGATTCGGTTCGGTTTCGGAAGCTGCCGCCGTTGATGATGATGATGATGGTGATGATGATGATCTTCGCCCCACTGTGATGGAGGGAGGGTGATGGGGGCAACGCGGACGCAAAAGCAGACGCAGACGCGGACGCGGACACACCGAAATGGAATGGAATTGAATTAAATCAAATGATAAAAAATATAAATCGAGTGTAGAAACAGAGGCAGCCCTCTGTGCCGTGCAGCAAAAACAAAAAGACACAAAACGACAAAAAAAGAGACGAAATCGGATTCAGAATCAGAATCAGACCCTGCCGCCATATACCCCCTATAGTCGTCTGACAAGCGACGAACTGATGAACTGATGATCCCAACCAGCCAGCCAGCCAGAGCGAGGCAGCCAGGCAGGTTCTGGCTCTGATTCCGACTGACTGAATGACTGACTGGCTGACGCTTGGCTGTACCATTATTGAGGGGGCTGCTGGCACAACAGACGACGCACCAAACTAATAACAAACTGGATATATGAATGTACATATACATATATGAATGTATGAATGTTCGAGTGTTTATGTAGATATATTTATGCTGCCATAGAAAACACAGCAGACCCCTCCTCTGATCCTCCGGGTCACAGCGCAGAAGTCAGCGGAGGGAAATGGAAGGAAAAACGGTAAAAGTGAGAGCCTGCACATGTTCTTGCAATGCTGATGCTGCTCCACCTTGGGGCTGCCTGTAAATAAATAGTTCTGTCCAATGTAAAAATAAGTCCTGTGCAGATGCCCCCTGATCTGTAAGCCTCAACTGTACCCGTGAAATCGATTCGAATTCCATTTTAAAGTTCTCCCCACAACCACATCCAAACCACAGTCCCCCCCTCGTCCACACTCGATAGCGGCTGGATCGGGGGGTCGGCCGATTCTCGCACATTTTGGCATATAATTGTATTTTTTCAGGGGTTTTTTTTAACGCTGATTTTTCAAAGATGATTTGCAATTCGAGTGAACGATGCGAATGATGCGCTGCTTGGGGCACTGCGGTGGGGAGTTTCAATCGCGTCACACTTTCTGTACACAGAGAAATGCTTTCAGAACAGGAACTGCTGTTCTGTGGAAAGTGTGTCTGTATTTAAGCAATTGTTGCTCCTAAATGCCGCCGCTTGATCAGGTTGCGGTTTTGGATCTTCTAATTCTGCTTCTTACTCTTTTCTTCATTGAATCCCGGCTCTACCCCCCCCATGTGCCCCATAAAAAGAGCTTAATGGTTTTGTCGCGTTTTTCTGAATTTACACAACAAACAGAGACAGAAAACGAGAGACAGAAAAAAACAAACAGAATCCAGAATCATAAAATTCGTGAGCATTCATTCTGACAGTTTAATAAATGTCTCTCAGCTTCTCGTTTTCTGTGCCTCTTTACCACCTCTCTGCCTCTCTTTCACTCCTAATCTCTGCCTTCATTTGTGCGATGGATGCTGCCTCTTGCCTATTGCCTTTTGCCTCTTCCGCTGCCCCTGGATTCTCAGTGGGATTCTCTCTGCTATGCTCTGCTGTGTCGAGTGGGCGGGCGGCGGCTGCTGTTAAGCCTCAGGCCTCAAACCTCAAATGGAAAAACAAAATTTTTGACGAAAATCTAAGAAAATTCAGACTTGGAATTTCTGAAGACAAATTTCCATTGCGTACTTTCCAATTTCCAGTAAAATGGAAAATTGGGCAATGTGTCTGAAAGATCCCAAAACCCAGTTTTCGATTCCCGATTCCCGATTCCCGATTCCCTGTTCGAAATTCTGCAACTAACCTCAGAGAAAATTCACTCTCTCGTTCTTGTTCTATAATTCTTTGTAGCCCCAATATCCACCCCCCCACACACACATATATGTATATATTTTGAATCCCCAATTTGCTGCTGATGCCTGATCTTTCTGTACACTTTTCTACACTCTCTGTTTTTGCACGGCGAATGAGAAATTCATTTTAAATTGCAAGTTAAAAATACACGCGATTTCCTCTCGCCTTCAGGCTTATTCTCACCCACAGCCTTACCCTCATCATCACCCTCACCCTTGGTGGATTTTCCTATTCGTACGAGTAGGGGCTCTCTGGGCGCTGGGTGATGGGTGCTGGGTGATGGGTGCTGGGTGCCAACAGCCCACCGCTGCTGTCGCTGTACCTCTGATTTCTGCCTGTTTTTTTGGACACTTTTTGGTAATTGCATTGGAAATGCGGCCAACGAGGAATACGACACGAATGACACCCAAATGCTGCCCCAGATGTGATCTGCCCCTCTGTCTTTGGCTGCCTTTTCTGGGATCCCATTCAAGTGACCCATTTTAGTGGGCATGCTCCTCCTCCTGCTCCTCCTGCTACTGCTCCCACTTTCTCGATCTCCGATGCGAGCCTCAGCCTCAATTAGTGGCAGCATCAGTACAAGAGGAAAAGAGGAACGCAACATGATTTAAATTGCTGTCACTGTCAGTTGTTGTGTTTGTCAGACAGCGGCGACAATAGCACCAGCAAAAAAAACCGTGGCACGAGCTACAGAAACTGAAACAGAAACAGAGAGCAAAGAACAACAGCCAGCAGTCGCAACAAAACGTATCTTATGGATACAGGGCGGCATAGTCACACAGCCACACAATCGCTGACATAATAATAATCCTACAAAAGTTGGTTCTTTCTTTCGAAAGAAGGATGCTACGATGCTACTGCTGCCTCCGTGTCTGTCTCTGGGCCCCATCCACCATTCTCCATTCTGCTGCTATTCCGAGCTCCTCTTTTGGCCAGAAAAGATGCCAAATGGTCTAGAAATATTGTGTGTGTGCCGCACCCGAGTTGGATCTTTCGACTGTTTTTTCTTTCTTTGGTCTGGGTCTTCTTTCTGCGTTCTTCTGGCTGCCGTCGTCTAGAGCTGCCGTCTACTGCCACTACATCACTCTGCTGTCTGTCTGTCTCGTCTATCGAAAAAACTGAAGCTGGGCCGAGAGTAGGCACCAATTGGCGATCGTTTTGTGATCGGTCGCCATGATCCACTTTTGAAATTTGAAATATATATTCCATATTCAGAAGCGATTCTCTGGCCGAGAAACCACTATATTTCTTTCCCATTGCGAATTCACTGCACGAGCCACACATGAAAATATTCTACGGTTTGGAACGTGCAGAATCATTCGAATTGATACGAGATATGCCGCGAGAGCTCTTGGATGAAATCCATCCTCCATTCTGCCCCAGTAGACCATCGCTTGGTCACGTTTTAGAATAGTAAGGATGAGGACGAGGAGGAGGAAGAGAAGGCGGAGGCTCTTGGCAAAGAAAGCTCTGCTTCTAGGGAGCAACGAAATAAAATCTAATCATATCGAAATCAAATGAGGTTTTTATTGAGGGAAAACAAAGGCTTACGATACAATCCGATACGACCCGATACGACATATTTGGAAATGGGACGGAGGAAATGCCTTATGTGGCTTCTGGTTTCTGATTTCTGGTTTCCGATTCGATATCCATTTGAAAGCCAATTGCTGACCGGATCCCCATCCCTCCACGGCACTTGTTGTTTAATCCCCATGGAATGGATATACTTATTGGGGAAACAATACGTCGTTTTCATGCTAATTAGCCTTGCTCCGTGCCACCGTGCCACTGGATTTCCATATCGCGGAGCATGTTCGATTGTCAATTGATCCGCCAATTTCACTCGGTCGATCGATTGATCCATCATATCTATCTCCTCCTCTTCCTCTTCTTCCTCTATCCTCCCTCCTCCCTCCTCCCTCCCTTCTCTTGCAACATCAACCCTTTTCCAGCCATGAACCTAACCCGCTGCACTCGTGCAGCACTTGCCACGGCCACCGCTGCTGACATGCCCATGCACATGTCCATGCCCCACCCGCTGGTTATGGGGACCATACGTGGTGGTCATACAACTACGATAATGGTTGATTTTAATTAAATATTTCTTCTTCCTGTTGCTATTCCTATTCTGCTGCTGATTCCCTCCTCGTTCCCTCGTTCCCTCGTTCTCTCGTTCACTCGGGTTACGCGTTTGCGCGGGCTGTCATTGCTTTAAGCTGCTCTATGGCTGAGGGTAGCTTCCCGCTTCCCCCTTTCCCCTTACCCCGACCGCTTCCCAGGGAACAGAGCGGACAAGTGACTCCCCCCGAAAGAGTTCGTGAATGAGTTATGAATGGAAGTGATTGCTGGCAGCGGGAATCAGTCAGGGGAATGGTAAAGGGAAAGGGGAAAGCGGGTAGGAAATCTTCTAATGAAGTCCCAGGAGAGGAGCCCTCTCTCTTAATGGATATTTTGGAATACTCGAACGAGACGCGACGAGACCTCTGATCGTCGCAGTCTAGGAACCCCCCGTCGAGCGGAAGTCAGGAGTGGATGGACCTACTATGTGTCTATACCAAAACCTCCTACTCTTTTTCCTTCTTCTCTTTCCCCTCCTTCCCTTCCTATTCCTTCCTTCCTGCTGTGGCTTGTCCGTCCCGTCCCGTCGCGTCGCGTCGCGTCGTATTCGCTGCATAAATAATAATTGTAGTGCCTCTTCCTTTGACTTCTATAAAATAGTTTGAATCGTTGATTGTCAAGGAAGGAATCGAATCGAATCGTTCGGTGGAGGAGGAGACGGGAATCTTGAGGGAGGAGAAAAGAGCAGATTAAGAAAAGAAGAGAACAGAGAAAAGAACATAAACACTAGAACATAAACAGAGAAAGAAACTTAAAAAAAAACACGAAAAAAATCCGAGACTCTCTTGAGCAATGAACCCCCCAATGGGGGGAAGCCGTCGCCAGGGCGGGACGCGAATGTCGAAGGCAGAATCAGAGGCAGAGGCAGGGGCACCCCCCATTAAAGTTGATTGCAAACTGTACGCGCATTTATGATCGCAATCATCATGATGATCAGTCGCTACTGCTGCCTCTGCTGTTGCTGCTGCTTCTGCTGCTGCCGCTGATGATGATGATGATAATGATGATAGCAGAGATGGCGTCGTCGCATTATCAGCAGCATTATCATTATCATGACGACGACCGTTGGCCGTTTATTAGTTTGCCGTTGCGCGAATTATTTTTATAGGCGCTGATGATCGTAGAACACAGAAACACAGAAACAGCAACAGACAGCACTCCACCCCACACTCAAGGGAGGGAGGGATCGGAGAGGGTTCTGCTGGAGATCTCCAGCTGTGGATCCAAGTGCCCCACGAGGATAGGATGCGTATAGGGGATGGTAGCCTGGGAAATTCGAATATTTTCTCATGAAAAGCAGCAATGGAACTTATATTTGCCTGCCCCTCTTTCCTTTTTGCAGAATGATGCCGCCAAGACTGCCCCATAGCTCTGGAGTAGCGGCAGCAGCAGCAACGAAACGAGTAACCACGAGTAGAAGTATTAGCAGCCACAACAACCACTTTATCCATAGCCGAAGCACCACCAATACAACATTTCACAAGCGCCGACGTAGGCGACACGACATCAGCAACGCCACAGATGCAACATCAGATGCCACTGTAGCACCTGCCCCTGCCAGGTGCAGCATCACGAGGAGAGCGCCTGCCATCATCTGTTTAGCGCTACTTCTTCTCTCCACCACCTGCTCCCTGAGGACTGTTGCGGCTTCATCTGCATCTTCTACATCATCATCATCTGCAGCTACTACATCTGCGTCCGCTTCAGGATCTGGATCAGCATCAGAAATCGCCTCCAGCTCCCCCTGCGCCCCACAGCACTGGTGGGACCCGTTGCGGGACAAGTGCACCGCCTGCACCGTCTGCCTGGGCGAGATGATCCCGCTCCGGCCCTGCCAACTGCACACGAACACCATCTGCGGCTCCATCTACGACTTGAAAATCGATTGGGTCGTCCTCGCCAAGACGGAGCCCAATTGGAAGGAGGTAAGTCCAAAGACTATTCCCTAAAGCACTAATTCCCTAACCTTGATACATGTGTCTTTCTTTCTTTCGCAGCGCCGAAAGTCTTCAGAGTATGAGCACTTCGAACAGGATGCCCCGCTGCAGCATTTGACCCACGAGCAACTGCAGCAGCTGCACGAGGAGGCGGCCGCTGCCTGGGTTCTCGACTGGCAGACGGGCGTCCTCTATGTGGCCGTCCTCACCTGCCTCATCTTCTTCTCGGTGGCCGCCTGCATCCTCATCCACCACATGCGCCAGTGGCGACGCATGGAGCGGCGCTTGGATCAAGGTGCGTTTTTCTATCTATTTTTTTGTCTCCCTGGAGTTCTGCATCAAATTTTTGTGTGCTACTTCAATTTTCTTTGGACTTTCTCACGCTCTCTCCCTTTTTCTTTCTCTCGGGGGCATATTGATTGTTGATGCAAAACGTGTTGCATTGCCCCTCTCCACTAAGGGTCTTTAAATCCCAATTCTCATTCCCATTCTGTCCATTCTGTCCATTCCAATGCCCAAATCCCGGCATGCTTCGCATTCCCAAGTGCGTTCGCTCCGCATCGCATTGTTGTTACTGCGGCAAAATAACTGCCGCCACCTGCCCCACCTGACCCTCAACCACAACAAAGGGAAGCCCTAGTGTAAGCCGCATACATATTTATAAGTCGACGGACCCCAGAACACGACACTTTGATGTATGTCTGCCCCCGCGACACCCTGTCCGCTCAGGGAATCTAAAATCTCTGCATCGGGATCGCAGAAGTCTCTTTCTCCGTCTCTGTCTTCGTCTCTGTCTTCGTCTCTGTCTTCGTCTCTGTCTCCGTCTTTGCCTCTGTGTCCGTCTGCGGGCAGACTTCCAGCGAATTATTGCACGAGCATCAGAGAGGCTCGGATCGGATCAAAGCTGTGTTCAGAGCATATTAACGAGCAGCGAGCCGCCAGTCAGAGGTGAGCGCGTGAATCGAAGCCTCCAATGGCTCCACTCCCAACTGGGGGACTGCGCCTGTGCCGCCGCCTGCTGCCAAAGTAGAACGAATCGTCCAAATATTTGGCGCATGTGCGTCGGAGTCGGCGTCAGCAACGACAACGACGACGCGATGAGCATGCAAAAAATTTAAAAGAAGCGAGTGCGAGTGCGATTGTGATTGCGAGTGCGAGGGCGAGGGCAGGCACACACAATTAGCAGGCACTGTGGCTCCATATTTACTCGTATTTGGATCTTCTGGCTGTCGCTCTGGCAGCCATTCCACCACTTGACCGCAACGACAATCGAAATGGCGACTAATTGCCCCAGAGGCAGTAGGCAGACACGAAGATGGCCACAAGACACAAGACAGAGGCAAAGCTGCCCTCCGTTTGGCCCCCGGGAGAATAAGAGCACAGAGTAGAGGAAATGGGGACATGAGAAAGAGGTGGAACTGAGGTGGTGGTGCCCTTGAAAATGGGTATTTCTTCAGCCACTCGAGGGATGGAGTGAGAGTGCGAAGATCTCTCTGAAGACATCAGACTCTGCGATGGAGTGCTGTCCAATCAATGCTAATGGAAAGACCTCCCCCTAGCTCCAGGACTTCGTTCTGCCATGTGCTGTGTAGGATGTAGGCTGCTCTCCAGACGGGGACCACATGTTGCAGCCACACATACTCGCAACAGCAACATGAACAGTATTAGGCGCAACAACAGCAGAATCCAGCTAAAAAGAAACAAAAAAAAAAACACAAAAAAACAGCATTGTTGAGTGGCAAGATGAACTTTCCACCGTTTTCTACAGCGGCCGTTTTTTGCGGGAAATTTATGGCGTGTTTTGATACGGAGAACTCTTGTTGTTCTCCGTGTAATCATAATTCAGAGCGTGTCGACGTCCTATGGCCCATGTCCCACGCACACAACAAACCCCCGAACACCGCGAACGAAAAGTGAAAACTGCTGTGTGTCCAGCGGGGAAAATTTATGGAGCTGCAGCAGTGGCAGCGGCAACGAGGGGGCAGAATCGGAATCACTTGCCACGGTTCTTTTCCTCGCCGGAAGCAAATCTTTTTTCTCAGGTAAAACTATCGGTCCCGTCTCCCTTCTCCGCTCAAGGACAAGCAGCGGATGTTTATGTGAGGAAATTTGAAAATCATGTCACAACGCCGGAAAAACATGTTTCCATGTCATTCCAGCAGGCAGCAAGCAGGAAATGCCCAATGACGGAAGGGGAAGGAAAAGACAGCAGGGAGAATACGAGGAGAATTTGGTGATCATCGACAGATGAAAATAGTGCGACGGGGAAATGTGTGTAGTCGAGGAGAGTACACTTGAAGCTGGAGTTTCCCACTCCGTCCACGTCCACGTCCGTGTCCACGCCCACGTCCATGGCCTTTTGCTGATGTGCCCTGCTTCCGCCTCGAGGGATCTATAAATATAAAGTCGTTGTATAGATCCATCCCCCCCCAACCCATATGACTCTTTCCCAATGATTGAACATCGACCAGCTGCTGCCACTACAGGAAGTTGTTGCGGCCCCGAAGGTGCCACTTCAGCAACGGCAACGCAGAAATTGATACTGTAACAGGCGGCATTCAAGTGCAATGTTGACAATTGCCCAACCCATGTGCAACCGCAACCTTCCTCCGACTACAAGAGAGACTTCTTCCACATGTAAGTGTGGCACGCGCTTATGGCTTTCTTCAACATAAGAGGAGACCCATCGAGTATGGGGCGACCAGGAGCAGGCGATAAATTTTGCAGCACGAGGCAACTGCCAAGATCCGCTGGAGATGAAAATGTTGCTCAAATGTTGCAATGTCTGTGTTTCCTCGCTCCGTTTCCTCGATGTTCTTGGCGTTTTACAGCTCGCATCCAAAAATAGATCCCGACATATCCATTCGGGGGAGGTGGATAGGGACGGGATGTGGATGGGTATGGAGATGAAGATCGAGTCGAAGTTGAGAATGGGAAATGGGTCGTTTGTGCAATTCGAAGATACGTGGTAGGGGCATGCTGTGAGTTGCGCCTACTCGTTGATTATCTGCTTCCTAAGATTTCGATCAATCGAAATTTCTTTTCAACTTTGATTGTAATTGCACGGTGGAAGGGGAGGCGAAGTGGAAGTCCACTTTGGGAGTAGTAACCCGTTCTTCTATTTATTTCGTGCTGCTACTGCCACTGCCAGGAATCAAAGTCTTCTATTCTTTGTTTCCTGGCCTTTATTTATTAATCAGCTGCCATGAGAGAATCTCCAGAGCCAACGGAGAAATGGTTTTCCATGGAAAACGGAAAGTTTTCTAAACAAAACTCTGGCACACGCACCACACATATGCCCCTCGGTCTTCCTCCTTCCCATGTGTGGTACTCGGTACTCGGTTCTCGGTTCTCGGTTCCGGAGCATTCACCATGGGGGCATCCACAGATTGGGAAATCGAACTGCGCAAAAATTCGGAAAAACGGTGGATGCTGCCGTTGTGCCGTTGTGCCGTTGTTTTTCCTGGCATTGCTTTTCTTGGCTCTGTTCTCCGTCCAAGGCGAGTTTTTCTACAAGATTTTATTGTTGCTGCCGCTCGGCAGCGATTGTTTATAATAAAAAAAGCGATGGACGAAAAGTCAGCCGAGATCGAGAGCATCGCAAGCGACGCCGTTGGGCAATGGAACTTAATTTTTGGGCTGCCCGAGTCTACCCCCGCATCAGACGATGCCAGCGGTTTATAAATAAATGATAAATTATCTGCTGCCACCACCCACCGCAACCCACCATGAGAGCGCCTCTTGTTTACAATACATGCCGAGCGATTTCCTGCGCCATTTAATAAATATTGAAGCATTGATCGGTCCCAAGGCCCTTCCCTTGGAGTCGACTAGAATCCACAGCGCCGCATAGTAATCCCTGGCTCATTTCCTTCTCTCTCTATCTTTTTGCAGACGTGGAGGAGCTGTCGACGAAGTTGATGGCCAAGCTGGCGGAGGTGCAGAGCCTGGACGGAGGAACCTTTTTCATTGGCAACGCTGACGCCTTGCGTGGATTGCCCGCTGCCGCCGCCTCGCATGCGGCCTCGGCGGCGCAGTCGGGGATCTTCCAGCCGCAACATGTGCTTCTGCCTGGTAAGTGTCCTTCGAGGCCAGCAGGCACTTAAGGGGCTTGGCGGGTGGCCGGTCGGTCGGGCGGTCGTCAGGATTCCGATTCAATAGACCCCTTGTAACGGCCGGAGTCAACCCGGAGGGATTCGGATCGGACGAGCCAGTGGGTGGGAGTCATACAAATTCCATGCCCTACCATGCTCTTGGAAGTCTCTTGGGGAGGGGGGTACTTTATATGGTGTATGCAATTTGCATATAAATCGATATCACTCCTGGGCGGCGACAATAGCCGCTTAATGGCCCCATCAACGTCCGTCCAGTGCTGTAGTGCTGTCCGACTGTCGATCGAGTCCAGTGCCACGGGGTAGCCGAAATGCAAATGGGAACGGAATCGGGATTACGACTGGGATTGGGATTGAGATGCCGACGGAATTTTAATGCTGCTGGAGGGGGAGCTGTCATTCAATTTTGACAGCCACGCTTGTGGCCTGCCCAACTCATTGCCGCTCCTTTCCCCCTTTTCCTGTTGCAGAGAAACATCAGGGTAAGCATCAGGAGCGACGGATTCTGAAGACCCTGCAGCCCGGTAATGTCTACATCGAGGAGAACAATGGGGGCATGATGGGAATAGGTGCCAGCTCCAAGGGTTGATCCGAGAGCACGTACTATCTGGGGAGTACCAGAGTACCAGAGAACCAGACACCTAACCGGAAACAGGAAACAGGAATCCGAAAACCGGAAAGAGACCACAGGACACACAAGCATCGGAGCAAGAGAGAATAAATGAGTGTACAGACAGCCGCTTAATAAAATGGGAATCGAACTATTATTATTTTTTCTATTATAATTATTAATATTAATCTTATTGTAATGATACACCCTTTTTTTTGTCCTAATATTTAATTCAAATGTTATGTTGACTTGTTTGTAATGCGAAGAGGAGCAGGAGCAAGAGCAGGGGGACCCTATCTGGGCGAAACTTGGCGAAATGTTTTGTATATAGAGGAGTGGAATGTGGCATGTGGCATCAAATATAGGTACATATATGATTAACAAATTCTACTTAATGTACATATAAAGGCAATCGAACTCGACGTGCAACGGAGGGGAGCGATAATAACGAATGGGGAAAGGAACGGAACCAAGCAAATATCGGGAGCATATCCAGTAAATATATATAAATAGATACTATATATGTAAAGTCGTGCAGATCAGATCCCAGATTAACCCATATACGATTATAGTACATACGCATATCAAAATATAACCAACCCCAAGTCTAATATCTAACGAGAGCTGCGCTAAAGAATATCTAATATTTAATTCGAACAAGCAGATCGGAGAAGCGGAGAATCGGTTATCGAGCTAAATGTAACGCCTAATGATAATGATAACGATAACGATCATAGATAATAATGATAACTAATGGTAATCGAAGAATCGAGAAGTGTATTATGATCTATTGTAAGTGCTATCAATGTACAACAACAACAACAATAAAAAGTTCTATGAATCAATCGACCGATGTCTTTGTAGTATGTCATATGTAGTTCGTATAAGAGATCTTCTAGGGGAAATACAGAAGAGTGCATCATGCGATGGGGCATCGCATCCGATATGGGCACCACAGTGTCTACAGCCTATAGCATCCACCCCGTCTTCTAACGCAAATGTCATAGGTACGCGAGACCAATGCTCCGTTGCTCGGCGGGGCGATTGGGGAATAAATGCCAGGCAAGGCCAGGCCAGAGATGAGGAGAGGCCTAATGGCAATAACGGGGCGGGGAGGCCAGGAAACGTCTTTCAATGGAAATGAAAATGGAAATAGCCCGTCGCTGCTGCTGCTCCTCCCCCTGCTCCCTGCTTCCTACTCCCTGCTCCTCCTTCTATCCAGCGTTGGGTGCACTTTGCATTTCGAATTTGCATGTTTCGATAGAATTTGTCTCCGAGTTAACATTGAAAATGTCCAGTCGGTGGGGGGCGGGAGCCAGCGACGGGGTCCGACAGTCCGTACAGAATGCCTTTGCATTTATTTATGTAATGCTGCTTGTTGTTTTGCAGTTACACAATCTTAAATGATTGTTGTCGCTACTTGTGTCTCGTACGAGTACTTGTATTGTGCTTGCTGTAGCTATGCCTATGGCTATGGCAAATGAAATTTGTATAAGTACAGATACGAGGACGAGTACAAGTACGTAACGACTGAAAAACGCGCAAAACACTTCCAATGAAAAGCCAGATCCACAACATCAACATTGCCCATTGGCCATTGGCCATTGGCCATTCCATGCACGGACCGCGAGAGTTTCTGATTTCAGATAGTTTTTGCCGTCCAACGTCCCTGTCCCCGTCCCCCGTAGCGTCCCGGCCGTGATGGCCTGCCAGCAGAAATTAATTAGCCGCGACGTGGCATAAATTAGCAGAGAGAGAGAGAGAGAGAGAGCGGCAGGGCAAATGGAGAGAATGCAGAGTGGTGGGGAATACCCCATCCCATTCCTTGCTGTATATCTGAAGGATAGGGATAGGGTGTAGGAGTGGGTGCTACCCGAAACCCATTCCATTCCAAATAATCCGCCATGCTCTGGAATGTAATCTGTAATCTGTATCTTCCACTCTCAGAGGCGCCGTCAGGTCGGATTTCAGCAGCTCTCCGCTGGGTGAGTGCTGTGGCACATGCCACACTCATTTGGGGTATGTATTTTTAACATGCAGCGTGCTGCGGTGACTGCATTGTCACAGCTGCTCGATGCAGAGGCAGAGGCAAAGGCAGATGCAGATGAAGACGCACTTGAAACTGATAAGTCGTAAAGAACGAAAGCGGAAGGAAGTGAGCATTAGCGCTAAGAGGTATCTGCGGTAGTGGGGGCACCACCACCACAGGCAGCTGTCCATAAATCTATTAATCCATAATTCCATATCCCATATCCATTAGGTGTGGGGATCGGTGTCGAAAACGAGTATATATTTTCGCCGCCTGAATGCGGCTCTTCTCTTTTTTTTGTGAGGACGTGATTCCAATTGCTCAATGAATCAAAAATAGCGCCACAGCAATTGAATGGAGAATGGAAAATGCTGAATGGTGAATGCCGAATACCGATTATACCGAAAGTTGAATGGATAGTACTGGAAGGGGTACTCGCAAGGCCGTGCTATGTGGGCCGTACTCAGGGATCAAGGGAGGAGGAGGAACAGCGCCCCATCGTTGGCGGCGTATTCGGCGTAGGCAAAGTGCTGGACATTGGAATGCACACGTCGCTCGTTTTTGGATTTCTGGCACTTAGCCATTGGGCAACCTGTCCAAATCTGGCCAACCTGGCATTTGATACGCTTTGGATGCGAATTTGGACTTTGTGATTGTCCGCTTTTTGGCCCGCTTCCGTTGGCCGTTGGCCGAGAAACGTTGCCGAGCTGGCAACAGGCAACAAGCAACAAGCAGCAGAAGCAACAGCACGTCAAATGCACAGCGGAAATGCGAAACGAAAAATTGCAAAACGATCGCCCAGCACCATTACGGAGCGTTAGTGGGGCGGTAATGGAAGCAATTTATGGGGAAAACCTTCGATTGCGTATTCCGGAAAAGCGAATGGATATGAGTTTCCCGGCTGCACCCCTCATTCGGCTACTACCGCCATGGTTAATTGGAAAAGCTACGATAAAGTGGAGAACTTGGGAACTTGGGACTTCCCACGAGAAGGACTCCTGTCCGAAAAATAATTCTTGAAAAGAATATGTCACACTTTAAAGCAATTCTGACTATGAAGGAGTAGTCACCTTATTTCAGATTGAGTATGGTATGTAATAAACCTATTTGAATGGATACGCTTTCTTTCCATTCTGCCGCAATAATTGATCTGAAAAAATGATGTGCGTTGGGCCAAAAATTGTTTGTCCAGCTAGCAGCTCTGCACATGGTTAACGTTTTGTGCATCAGATATCGCAGGTACTCGGCTTCCAAAAAGTCATCTCTTTCTTATCCTCTGTTTCTTATCCTTCCAATGACATCCCAACGGTGCCAATCGACTGCTCTACCGGTCTCGAAAAGATATACCATGCCCAGATCAACAGCTGTTCAGCCGAGACATAGAATTACGAAAAACAAGCATTTTAGTTTTTGTACAGCAAAAACTTTAAGGTGCTATATCTCAGGAAGGATCTACTATTTCAGGATCGGGAGGAACCAGTCTGTCGATCTCGCATACTACACCATGACTTTTCAGGTCAAGAAAAGACACGCAAAGATTTGCAACGCAAAAAGTATGGGGCGCAGTATTTCGGGCAGTATCTTTAATCTACCTGAAGTCAGTGAGAGCAAACGATGGGGGAGATCTTGCCGACTTCGACGACACGTACAAGGTGATCCTTGCCACGTAGAGATCGGCCGCTGTTCGGCAGAAATATATGTACATACATATAACTTCCGAAGGAAAACTGAAAATGAAACCAGACTTCAAAATGGACGAACAGGTACCAGGCTATACTACGCGTCCGTTTTCCGTAGGGACAAATAACTGTTTCAATGGGATTGGGTAATTTTAAATATTAAACGAGGGGGAACGTTGTGAGTTGCTGCGGACACCGCAACTCTACAGTTATACCCGATACTAAGTCAGTATGGCTCTCCTCCGGCAGACGCCGCTAATATTAAGCGACACGACAAAGAGTGCGTGCGAGAGAGACAGAAAATCAGTCTGAGCATGACGTCGGACGCTGCGTAGCCAGTGCAAATTGATTTGTTCCTTTTGGCTATACAAATTATCTGATCTGATCCAGATTCAGCAATCTGATAGATATGGTCGTTATCTATGATTCTGCGTTTTTAGTTTTCTCGAATCTGCAATATTGGGGATGCAACAGATTTTCGCACTTTGTGTGGGCGGAAGGGGGTGGGGCGAAATTTTGAGATATACGTTTTATAGTGAGATCTAACAGGAGTGCGGGTACCAAATTTGGTTACTCTAGCGTTAATAGCCTCTAAGATTTGTGGATGCCCCAGATTTTCGTCCTTTGCGGGGGCGGAAGGGGGTGTGGCGAAATTTTGACAAAAAAAAATTTTGGGTCCGATATCACAGGAGTGTGGATACAAAATTTGGTTGCTCTAGCTTTTATGAGTTCTGAGATCCTTGAACTCATATTTTTCAATTGGCAAAACCGACCATGAAGCCTGTGTGTTAGAGAGAGACAGAGCGAGAAAGAATGAAATTGTTTTCTTGATTCTGGCTATAATAATTATACGATCTGGTTCAGATTTAGCACTCTAGAAGATATAGTCATCTTCTACGATTCTGTTTTTTTAGTTTTCTCGTATCGTCGAAATTGTGGATGCCACAGATTTTCGCCCTTTGTGGGGGCGGAAGTGGGCGGGGCAAAGTTTTGAAATATTCTTGTAGCAGTGACATATCTTAGAAGTCTGGATCCAAAACATCGTTGCTCTAGCTCTTATAGTCTTTGAGCACTAGGTGCTGAAGGGGACGGACAGACGGACGGACGGACGGACGTACGGACGGACAGACGGACAGACAGACATGACTCAATTGATTCTGATCAAGAATATATATACTTTATGGGGTCGGAAACGATTCCTTCTGGACGTTACACACATCCACTTTTACCACAAATCTAATATACCCCAATACTCATTTTGAGTATCGGGTATAAAAAAGGCCAAGCGAACGAATTGATTTACGTGATAACTACACATTTGCTACATATTAACTACATATTGGATGTAATTTTGAACAGAAACACCTGAAGGGGATGTGTACGTTTGTTTAAATACTAGAATATACGCAGAAAATAAAAATAAAACATACCGTCGCCCCCAGAATATACCAAAATGCGCCATCTGTTGGTGTTATTAAGAACTCTGGAGTTACAATTTTATAGTGAAACAAAAATCCGCTAGAATTACATATTTGTATTATATTATATGTATACTATATGTTATTAATATGTATTAATATTATTAATTATCTTAATATTGATATTTTCCATTTAATACTGTTCTATATGATAATAAAGTGATAGTACTATACCATACTATTAAAAAAAAAAGTGAAAACAAAGAAATCATGACCTGTGATTGTTCTTTTATGGATCCATATCATAGGTGAATTCCAGCTGCTGGGCGTATTTAACCACTATGTGGGGCACCATCTCTTGCTGGTCATACCTGTGCGCCGGAAGAAGAGTCTGATCCCATTTGAGTTAGTTTCTACACACGGCCGATTCGTTCTGAGCAGCCATCAGCAGCGTTATCCAAGTGACATTAACTACATGACCATCAGATGGCGCCACGTGGTCGCCAACAGGAATCTCTTGAGCATTTTCCCTGAGCTGGCGGCCTACCTGTGTTCTTGCTGCCTCCTTTTGTGTACCTCTGACGTATCCTTTGTTTAATTGCACGTTGCGGCACGCAAAATTAAACAAAAATTCAGTCCTGCCGTGGGGGATATCTTCCCTGGAAATATAATGAAGCGGGTGATGGTGGATGGGAGGATGAAAGAGGACCCACAGCTCAAGGGGCTGGCTAAATTGCAAAAAAATGACAAACGCCCGCCGCCACACCGCTACTCAGCCACACCCTCCTCCTGCTCCTCCTGGGAGGCGGCAGGGAAAAAGTTTTGTCCCTGCTCCAGCAGGGCAGTAGGGTGGTGAGTGTCATATCGCTTGTCTATTGTTCCCAAAAGTGTTTTTATTCTGCCAAGAAGTCCCAAGGCCAAGCTGCTCCATCCTTTCCGCCCTTCCCTCCCCGTCTTTCCGTGGAGACTCCGTGGAGTTTTTCACAGACTTTACGTTTGTTTTATTATCTTTTATTATTTTCTTCTCTGTCTTTGTCTAATTTCGGTTGTATTGTTGTTTCTCTCTTTCTGGCCTTGTTCTCCCCCTGGCCCTCCTGGTCCTCCTGTTCCGTCCTGCTAAATTGGCCGTTAAGATGCTAAAGATGCGGATTTCGGTGATTTACCAAGTTGGTCGCCAGTTGAGCCTGGTCCCATTGTTCTTCGCATGTCGGTTTCCTTTCTGGAATATACATAGTTTGCTCTCGGTCCCTGCCATGCCCTGTCCCTTAGAAGCAGATCCCATTTAATGTGTATTTCTTGTGTGTTTGCGGCGGAAATCGCGCTAATTTCGCCACCTGCTTGGGTCACCGCCTACTCCATTTTAGTTTTTGGGGGGAATGGTATGCCACATAACGGTAGTTTGCGGCAGGGCGACGATAGATGGGATCAGATTGATTGCGGCCAGACGTAAGAGTGGGTGTGGATTCCATTCCAGTTTAGCTTTTTAGGGTTAAGCGGGGGAATGATGTATCCAGCAGATGCGCTTCCCTGATGGGGTCCTCATTTCGCTGCACTCGACGAGAATCCATTTCCCTTATCCGGGGCCACACCAGATTGAGGGAGAGGGAGAGAAAGGGAGGCTTCTCGCTAAGCCGAGCGCTTAAGCTTCATTAGCTGCGTTTTTCTGCGGGCTGCATTTTCCATTTGTCGACCCTTGGCTCCGCTCCTCTCCTCTCCTCTCCTCTCCACTCCACTCCCGTTTTCCTATTTCCTATTCACCCTTTCCTCTACGGTGGACAGTGGACGGTGGAGGTAATGTAACGGTGTTGATTTTCACACGACGCAGCGTGAAATTAGAAATCAACAACATGTCCTGTCACGACCACGCACTGGCTGTGGCAGTAGAAATCAGAGCGCAGAGGGGTGATGGGGTAACTGGATACCGGGTGCCAGGGTCGGGTCGGATCGGGTCGGTCCAGGTCAGGTGTCGTTTTTGGCAAATCAGTTTGGTCTGCCAGCGCTGCGGACTGCATTTTGACTGCTGCTCCTGATGTTCCTCCGCGCTGCACTCTCTGCGGTTCCGGCTCTCGTTTGTCGTCTGCTGCTGACAGACAAAATTAAAATGTCTCTGAATGCAAGTGTCGTGCCCCAGCCATCCTACTGCCGGGCCCCACAGCACCGCAGGGTGGAGGATTGGCCTGTCTGCGTGTCACTTAATGACCAATTTGGCAGGCCCAGTCGGGGACTCGACTCGAATCGGAGCGTGGGGATGCGGATGGGGATGAGGATGGAGATTCCGCTAGCAGCTGTTGCAATTCGCGTTTCGGGTTTTGCCACCGCATTCCTATTCGCATCCGCATCCGCAGCCACATCCACATCCGCCCTGGCATCCGCATCCATCACGTTTGACTTTCGCTGTGATAAATCTTCAAGTCACAGAAATTGGCAAGCAAACAGCAGCAGCAACAACAACAACAACAACAACAACAACAACAACATCAGCAACAGCAACTAAATGGGGCTTGATAAGCACAAATGACAACAGACAGACAGCGAAGCGACAAGGAACAAAAACCGCTAAGAGAATTACAACATGTCGCAGCTTGTACGAAATTTGAATAAATTTCAAATTCGTTCCTCGCGAGCCGCCGACGCTGCCGACAAAAGTTTGCGCTCGGCTACAATTAACTTTTAAGTATGCCATTTCACAGATACCACAGATATCGCCGCGATATAAAATGCTATATTTCGTGCACGGTTCCACCCCAACCCTAGCCCCGACCCCGAGCAGAGTACAGCAGAGCAACCACCTCCCTCTCTCCACCCAGCAGGAGTACGCGGCTGAAGTTGAGGTTGCCAGCAGCAGTTGAGAAATAATTTCATGCAATTTATCATGTCACAGGGAGCACAACAATGAGCAGTGGCAGTGGCAGTGGCAGGGGAAGGGAAAGGGAAAGGGGATGCAGAACGAACTGCAAACACTCTTCTACCCGAAACATTTTACTGGGGCGGTGCCCAGGTCGAGAGCAAATGTATTCAAACGAAAGTGCGTGCGATTTCCGTTTCCGCTCGCACTTTTGGCATCCATATCGAATTTTTGCATAAATACCGCAAACGGTGGAGTGGAAAAGAGTGGACAGGGGGAGACAGCCTGCTCTCTGCTAGTTAATCGCCGACCATTTATCTTGCTTAATGAAATTTGCGAAAAATCAAATCAGGCCCAAAGAACAGAGAATCTTGGCCGTTATTAGCCACAAACTACAATCCGCAGCTGATCCTAGGGATCTGCGACAGAACGGGACAGGACGGGACAGGACAGGACAGAACAGGACAGTTTCTCTGATGTCGTCACGTGGCAGGCCTTGAAGCAACACCGATACCCACAGCCGAACCATCACCACCCCGCAGTGGCTCTTGTCCTTGTTGCCATTCATGACCCGCGAGCGTCACGTGCGCAATTAAATTGACGCATTCTTGACGGATTCTCCACCCACTCGCAGCCATTCTTCCCTTTTGACTTGGGCTAAAGAGCATCCAGGGAATTGGCCATTGACTGGAGAGGACTCCCACTCCCACTGCCACTCGCAACCACAGTCCCACTCCCCGTGCTACCGTGTTGATATCATTAATCAACATGAACAAGATTTCATTCCTTTGTGGCTTGCCCTGAGTTTTTCTTTACAATTGTACAAAGCTTTGATAATAATTTCAAACTGTTGTTGACTATTGTCATATAGACATCGGAATTATTTCACTTTATTACAAGCAGCTATATCTACACATGTGTGTAAATCGATTGATTATATTTTTTGGACAATAATTTAATGTAGGAATAAGCGAACACGCACAGAATGCACCATTGAATGGATATTTAAAGAATCACAAATATTGTTTGCTGGTAAGTCACGAGTATTTTCTAAGAAAACGAGCGGCCGCGTTGTGAGATACAGTATATTGGATGGTTAGTGACCAGAGGCATTCGGGATATACCGACATAGAAAATTGAAACAGTGAAACAACATTTTGTACAATTCGAAATACGTAGTTTCGGATCAGTGAAGCTATTGCAAGTGAATGAATCACATATTCTTCAAATAGTGAAAGCAGTTCAGTTCAGAAGCTTGAAAATGGTTTAAAGACAGTTCACAAGTTACCCATATCCGTTGAGGCGCACATGCGTTGTTTAATTAGTTTTTACCTATTTTGTTTTTGATTTGTAAAGCTGTGACTAGTAAATCAATCACATCTTCTTCTTATATTTTCTGACAGTATACATGAGTACCACTAATCTGATACAAACTAAAATATCTGGCAGCACTGTGAAGTGCATCGGCCTTGAGGTTAGATTAGTAGTAGTAGGCTTTGCCTAATGCCGAAACTTTACTCCTTTCAGCAGTTTGTTTTTTCAGTCATTCAGTTTTCGAGTTTCGGTGTGCAAAGAACAAAAACGTAAATTTGTGAATCTTATTTTGTGAAAAAAACAGCCCTGGAAGAAGCGAGTGAGATTTTTTTTTTTTTTCTCTTTTTTTTTGCTCGTGGTTCTCTATGTTGTGTGTACGTACGTATGTGTGTGAATAAGTGGAGATTTTAACCTGCAAAATCTCTTTGCGACTCGTAGAAATGTCCGTCTGTCTTCCGACAAAAAAAGGCGTTTCGGGGCGTGTGCCCCTGAATGCCCAGGGATCGCGTTGAAAAGGAGCGAAGCGGAAGGGAACGGCAATTGCTTACAGCTTTTTCCACACAAAAGTCTTGCGTGTTTCAATGCATGCGTATGTGTGCAAGTGAACTTGTATGTTCAATGCATGTGACCGCGTGCTGGCAAGCGTACAAGAGTGTATGTATACGAATAAGTGTACGTGCATGTGTGTATAAAAAGCGAATTTTGTATACAAAATTCGAAGCGTCTTGGTGTGTGTATTTCCAGAATTAACGGAGAGGCGAGTAGGGTCCGACTAGGCGAGGTTCGCTCAGCGCTCGAGTGTGGAAGAAAACCACATAGCGTGCGTCTTTGTATATGTGTGAGTGTGTGCAAGTGTTTTTCTTTGCAGGCGAAGAAAATCGTTTTGCATGAAAAGTGTGTCAGTGCCTACAATGTTTTTTGAAATATCGGGATAAAATACTGCCCTGTAGTAGGCCTTGCAGAAATTGTGCATTGAAAGTTGAATGTCACATTTTTGATAATTTAGATTCAGTTTCAACTAATTGTCGCATCTGAATTTTGTTTTCAGGAGGAAATTAAACGACGAAACAACGGAAGACTGATCAGATTCAAGCGCTTTTTCCAGGTGAGTCTCCCCGTCGTTAGTCCTCACTATTGCACTCTTTGACGGCTCTCTCTCTGCCGCTGTGTCTCCGTCTGTCTGGCCACGCGTAACCGTAACTAAACATTTGCATTAGGCAGCAGCTTCCCAAAGTGGTGGCCGCAAAAACCGCTAAACAGAACAGAAACGGCGGCAAATCCAAACAGTTTAAATGACATTTAGAGAGCATGCCAGCGGATCAGGATAAGGGATAGGGCATTCGGCGGGGATTGGGGGATTTTTGCTTGTCGGTTAAATAAATTTTGCGGCAAATCGCAAAATCGCCAAAAGGGCAATCCACCCGATCCCTCTGGCTGCTTCTCCTCCTGCGATCCCGCAATTGGCAATCGACGCCACAAATCGCGTTTTAAACCCTGCGTGCGATTAGTTTAATTGCCACCGGGGGATGGTATGGGATGGGTTTGGGATGGTTGCGGATGAGGATGAGGTTGGTGGTGCAACAGGACAATGTAACATTTGCATAGCGGCGGCTGACGCGGTCGCGGTCGCCAGCACTCCTGTGTCCTGCCTCCTGTGTGTGCCTGTAGCCTGAGTCCTGTGTCGAGTGGAGACTCGCGCTTAATGCGAAAATAAGGATTAACCAATGAAATTTATAAATGCGCCAGCCCCAGAGCCTGCTCCAGCTCATGCTGCTGTGCATCTTTGCCCCCGCTGCAAATTGAGTGCATAAATTGACCGCACCATCCGTCCGGAGTGGAGAGGATGGGGATGGGGATGGGACAGGCCAGGACAGAGCAATCTATTTTGGATTAAATCAAATCGAAATAAACGATTTTTAATGGCCTGCCACTGTGGCCAAGTGCTGCTCGCCAGTCCTGCCTGCCCTGCTGGAGCTGTTGGCCCTGTCTGCCCCGTGTGGCACAGTGGCAAAAACGAGGTCATTAATTATTTCTTCAAAAGCAGAAGATAAGCCCAGCCAGGACGAGGCCCGGGCTGCAAAATTAACCCCTCCTGCCCAGTTCGCTCCCTGCGGCCGACTCGCATCCTTTTTTGCGTTTTATGTCATTAGCTTAAAACAGAAACCAGAGGCAAAGCCAAAGCCAAAGGATGCAGGACAATGGTCAGTCGACACACACGCTCACGCACACGTACGCACGTCCTGTGTAACGGCTGTTTGTGGCATCAGCCAACAGCTCCAGCGTTATCCCCGACTCGACCTCGACGGCGGCCGCATGTGGCACCAAAAGATTAATTAATCTTTAAGGACTCATTGTGTGCTGTGTTTTTGCCAAGAGCCGAGAGCTGAGACCCCAGTCCTCGCTCTCCGCTCATTAGGACGCTCGGACATTTGGAAAGTTGGACATTTGCATGTGCAGCGAAGCAAAATGAATTTATGGACCATCACCCCTCTAGGGCAAGCGGAGGGCAAAAAGGAGTGGAATGGAATGTAGAGGTATTCTTAGGATGAGATCCAACTTTAACTTGTCCGTTTTTCGAAATGTCCTCTGTAGCACTGCCACGGACACAGACTCCGAGCTCCCATCCTTGAGTCCTTTCTTTGCTAAGCTCAGCATTTGTCACATTCCGCCACTCCCTTTCTTTCTCTCTCTCTTCTGCCCCCTTCTACCCCCTGGGAGCCGCCTCAGGCATTTATTTTGATTAGCCATTGACATTCATTTCTATTTGTTGGTTTCTTATCGTAAGCCGCATCGCCATCGCCATAGTCCTCCCCGCCGCACATCATGTTCATCTTCTCGGAAGAGAGTGACCAGCAAAGCCGCTCAAAGGCGCTGCGCTGCTCATTTATCCATCCATACATCTATGTGTATGGCTGTGGAGGTGGAGAGCTCTATGGGCCTAAAAATTTCTGTGGCGCACAACAGAGGCATGCCACGCATTGTCGCTTGCTCCACGTATAAAATATTTACGGCTGATTATTCGCCAGGTTAATGTCTTTCCAAATGTGTGTGTGTGCATTAAGTGTGAGGCAGGAATGGAAATGGGGAAAAGGTGGTGTTAGGATGGGGGCGGCGGGCACTGGGGGTTACCAAAAGTTATCCTTTGATGCGCTCGGGCAGCATTCTCTCTAATTTATTAGCCAGCATACGTGAATTATTGCTGCGTCTGAGAGTTTTCAACTCTTTGACTTTGATTGGCAACTGGGGATTGCCTTGTGGCAGCCCCAGCCAGCTGGTGGGGGCACAGCGTTAACTGCGAGGCGGCTCAGAGGCTGAGTGGTACCAGCTTTAAATAAGAAACTACGCGTGAAAAGAGAGAGCATCGAGAGATCGGGACATCATGCAGTTGGAATCGAGGGAGAGCGGGATCACCTTCATCCACCTGGCTGGCTCTGATCACTTTTTCGGACTTTAATAGTCAAAGTTTATGGACATAAAGAGAGCGCTAAGTCGCGTTCGGCACGAGCTCGGTAACTAGACAAACACTTTCCGGATAGACAGTTAGACAGACAGACACACGTGGAAAGGAGTTGCTAGAATGTGCGGGCTGTTAAAATGATTAATGATGTGTGCGCGGCATGTACGTTAACGCCCCAACACACACACACAGTGAGACACACACATTGTGGCAAGAGAGGAAGTTACCGGGACAGATGTTGTCATAAATAAAAACGAAGCTGAAAAGAAGATGAAGATGCCCCACGGCTGGAGACGTCGAAAGGCAGGGCAGGGCAGGGCAGGGCAGGGCAGGGCAGGGCAGGGCTGTGGCATGAGGCATGAGGCAAGAGGCCAGAGGAGGGGCTCATGTAAATAAATATACATGTGGGCGCAGTTATTTATGCATGTGTGGGTGTGAGGCGTGGGCGGGTCTCTGTTCAGGCCACATTAATGTCAAATCAGGCGCATAAATTGCGTAAAACGCTCCATTTATTAAACGAAGCATACTTTCTGAGGCGTCTGCCCTGACAAGTGTATTTGCCAGTTAATAAATGTCGAAATAACTGGCTGGGAGAGCCACTCCCATCTCGGAGAAGGAGAACAAGAAGGTGGTGGGGAGCTGATTGCATATTTAAGTGGTGCCTGCGACGCCTCTGCGCATCCTTTTCTCACGGGTCCGCATCCGCATCCTCATCCGCGACTCATGTTTATGAGTCTGCTGCTGCCGTGCCGATTCTGATTTTGATTCCGATTCCAACAATGGCTCCGAGTGCCAATTGTTCAATTCAAAAAGTGGCCTGGTTGATGGCAATTGCCATCAATCGATTTGGCTTATTGTGTTGGGCATGCGGAGTGGGGCATGGGATCCCCGGGACCAGGGATAGTGACAAATACAATCACAACAGTGGAGATTCAGATATTCCCCGCCAAAGGGCTCATAAAAATTGTAAATCGTTTTGGCTTGGATATTTTCGGTCGCAGTCGGCCAGCCACATGCCCTAGCTGTCCGTGAAAGTCTTTTCAAATGTGTCAGCAGCGGCACCCCCCCGAGAGCTTTGCCAAGTCGCTTTTTCCCCGGCTACTCTGCACGGGTTCTGCTTGTTTCGCGTTTTGTTATCCTTTGCAGCTCCACAATTGCACGGACGACGACGTGCTGGGCTCTCTTTCCTGTCTCGCATGTGTGCGTGTGTGTGTGTGTGTGTGTAGGTGTCAAGGGTGCTGTACTGGCCTCGAACCCGCCCCATTCCCCAAGCCCCCAAGCAGGATTGCATATTCCGCTCCTCACGAACATGAGCGCTCGTTAAACGGATGAGTTAAAAGTCAAAAGCCCTAAAGGATTTTATTTGAATTGCGGTCTCGGCGGCCGCCACCGCCACCGCCACCGTTCGACGTTTGCCCGTGTTCTCCGTTTGCTCCGTCTCTATGGCTGTGTCTGCGTCTGCCTCCGCTTTGGTCTCTCTTCACACCTCCCGCAGCACGGCGGCACCCCTTTGTGTGCCATGTTTTATTTAAAGTTTATCTTTGCTGCCTTTTTTCCTCCCCCGCTCCACTCCACTCTGCTACGCTCTGTGTTGCTTCTTCACGCTAATTTCGCGCCAAGGCAGTAAAAAATATGCGCAAAATAAAATGTAGAAAAATATTTTGGCGCAAGATGGAAAACAAAAGGGTTTGCCATCGCTCCACTCCCGCCTTTGCTCCTTTTTTGGCCTTCATCTCGATGTCGGCACGTCGCCGTTTCCAAGCCGTGCTGAAAAATATTTGAAATAATTGCAAAAATGGTTTCACAGCATCAGTGCCCCTCTTGAGAGGCAGGGTGTTTGTGGCATTGCCTTACAAAGTAGAGTATCGTAAAGGGCGATTTCTAATGCGAGGCACGTTTGAGGCTGTGCGTAAATTCCTTTAAACAGGAGCAGACGCGTATCGCATTCAGCCACGCCACCAGCCGATGTTGGGTAATGAAACCATTCAGATTCCCTATCCTCTTTATTCCTTAGCATGACTCAACCGGTGGACAGTTCTTTTTCGTACTGGTCAACCAACCCAGGCGTCGGAGCAACAAGTGAGTATCCACGTGTCCAGATCCATACATCTCATCTAACATCTAATATTCTAATAATCGAATGCTAAACCCAGCAGACGACTCTCGTCCATCACTCCTCGAGACCACGGAGTCCAGTGGGCAGATGTCGCCCTACGCCCCGTCGTTCTATCCCGCCGGCTCATATGCGGCCCAGCTGCTGGCCCACGAGGAGTCGCAGGAGAACGGGAGGAATGCGGCTATACGTGCACAGAACCGCCACCAGGAGCGGACTACCGGCATGTCTAGCTTCTTCAATTCCGCCGCCTTGTCGGGCGATGGTCCACGATCCCCCCAGTCGAGCGGAGGCCCGAACAACTACTTTCCACGTGTCCCCCAGTCGAGCGGTGGTCTAAGTAACATCTTTCCACGTGCCCAGTCGATGTGCGTACGAAATGACACCAATAACAACTCACGTGCCCAACCATCGGGCCACAATTCACGGGCCCAAACAATTAGAGTCACCAATCCCTGCTTGCCGATTACTCGCCACCTCTTAAGTCCGGAAAGAGAGCCGCGCAGGGCAAATGCTACTCTACCGGCGCCAGTCCGTCCAGAGCAGGCTTCTCCGGCCCCTACTCGCACGCGATACTCCACAGATGGCGATCACTCAACGCTGGAGCGGTTGCCTTTATCCGCAGTACCCCATACTGATCCCACTACAGAGTACTGCGCCAAGCTCCTTAGGAACCGGCAAAACGAGTCCTCGAGTAACGCCGCTCGGGTGGATCCAAGGATTCCAGCAGCGAGGCCGCAGTCTTCGATAACGCCGCCGACGCCTACGGCGACGGCGAACTATCCCCCCTTTGAGGAATTTGTCGCGCAGTTAGACAATTGGGACGTACGTCGAGAGGAGTTCATAGGAACGCTACGGAATCTGATGGTGCGCGCCAACGACTTGTTGAAGCCATTGCTTGGTGGCCGCTTCAGCCAGATGACACCCGAGCAGATCGCCGCCTACACCTCTACCATCCTCAACAGTGGGCCACTGCATCCCAGCCTGTTCCTGCCGTTCGTAAGTGTCCACCATCATACGGGAATAATTACCTTTAACGATTGCCAACCCCCTCTCTTAGCATGCTCAGCGACCATGGGAGGGCGACGGCCTTGAACTGCCTTCCAGCCATCCACACAGTCTGACGCCCGAGGACTTGGCCCTAATCAGAGTAAGAATCAATCTCTAGACAATTGATTCTTGAGGAGGACAATCTAATCAGAGTAATCCTCCTCCCTCATAGGCTCTTTGCAGCAAGAAGGACGCCACCACACAGACAGAGTACGATTGCCTCTGCATGCTATTGGGCTTTCCGGGGATCCCGCCGCTAGATCGTCCCCAAGCTGGTCCATTCGCGGGACCGCCATTGTTTGAAATGACCCCGAACGGGCCGCGTCTCGCTCCATTGGGTGATGTATCGCCACTACAACCGATACTGAATTTTGCATCCGAAACTGGAGCAGGAACTCCTGGAGCTGAACTTGGAGCTGGGGCAGGGCTTGAACCGGGCACGGGATTCGCACCTGGAGCAGGATACGGGCAAACCGCAGGATACGGACCTGGATATAGAGAAGGATTCGGACCAGGCGCAGGAATCGGACCTGGCGCAAGACCCGGACCTGATCATATTTTTGGACCTGGAGCAGGATTTGGACCTGCCGCAGGGTTTGGAACTGGCGCAGGACTTGGAACTGGGGCTGGATTCGGACCTGGAGCAGAAAGGGCAGCCGGGGCAGCCGGGACAGGACTCGCACCAGGTGCAGGACTTGGACCAGCAGCTGGCGTCGTACCTGGAGCAGGATTTGGACCTGCCGCAGGGTTCGGAACTGGCGCAGGACTTGGAACTGGGGCTGGACTCGGACCTGGAGCAGATATGGCATCCGGGGCAGGACTCGCACCAGCTGCAGGACTTGGATCTGCTGCAGGCGTCGTACCTGGAGCAGGATTTGGACCTGCCGCAGGGTTCGGAACTGGCGCAGGACTTGGAACTGGGGCTGGATTCGGACCTGGAGCAGAAAGAGCAGCCGGGGCAGCCGGGACAGGACTCGCACCAGGTGCAGGACTTGGACCAGCAGCTGGCGTCGTACCTGGAGCAGGATTTGGACCTGCCGCAGGGTTCGGAACTGGCGCAGGACTTGGAACTGGGGCTGGACTCGGACCTGGAGCAGATATGGCATCCGGGGCAGGACTCGCACCAGCTGCAGGACTTGGATCTGCTGCAGGCGTCGTACCTGGAGCAGGATTTGGACCTGCCGCAGGGTTTGGAACTGGCGCAGGACTTGGGACTGGGTCTGGATTCGGACCTGGAGCAGATATGGCATCCGGGGCAGGACTCGCACCAGCTGCAGGACTTGGATCTGCTGCAGGCGTCGTACCTGGAGCAGGATTTGGACCTGCCGCAGGGTTTGGAACTGGCGCAGGACTTGGAACTGGGGCTGGACCCGGACCTGGAGCAGATATGGCATCCGGGGCAGGACTCGCACCAGGTGCAGGATATGGACCTGCAGCAGGCGTCGTACCTACGGCAGGACTAGCACTTGGAGCTGGTGCATGGCCCGTACCACTAACAGGATGGTCGTATGGTAAGTACCTTTGGAGATTTCAACCTGATGCGCACACGTGCGCATGTGTACGTGTATATATATATATATAAGACTTAGTAACTACATTATCTCATATATGTATGCTAATATATGCCATGTTGCACCTCTTTCTGCCTGCAGCTGGTGACACGCCTCCGCAACCTCATCAGATGCCTCCAGCCTATCCTCCTTTTGGGCAAGCGCCGGCTACCCAAGCGCCATATGGATATCCCAACATCAACATCAACATGCATCCGAGTTCGAGTTTGAATTCGAATCCGTACGCGAACATGTATCAGCAACAGCAAATGCCACCGCATGTGTATCCGCCTGGTCCGACATTTACGAATCAACAAATGAATTTCCTTCCCCCGATGAATGGACCAATGCCGCCACAGATGCATCCGTCAACGCATGCAAATATGTACCCGCACATGGCTCCGCCACATATGCCATTAAACACGGATGCACAAATGAACTCCATCGCGAATCTATATCTCTATCCCTACTATGATCCATACATGAACAACGCGTACTTATATCCGAACATGGATCCTAATATGCAGCCTAATCACCCGAACCCTCACTGGCAGCCACCACCCATGAATCATCATTCATTCTGTGCACATCCATTTCGAGCTCCACCTTCAATGGGCAGACCGATGCTTTATCCAGATCCTGGGTTGAACGCTAGTGGTCACCGTTTTGGTTACCGTTCCAGCCACGGCCACGGCACCGGTCAGTTCCACTTCCACGGCCATGGGCAACCACACGGCCACTGCCACGGCCACGGCCCCTTTAATGGAGAACCGACCAGACATGGATCATACAGCGGACATTCCACCTACAAGAAACGCGACCACCATCGCCAACGCTGCCAAACGCCACCTAACCCACCTGTGGAACAAGACCCCACCGCGGATTTGACTTCCGAAGCGAATTCGGATTCGGACACCGTAGTGGGAGTAGAACCAATGTTGGATGGCGAGGTAACTCTAAAACTACGGATGTCCGACAACGTTGAGATCATAGAGCAAGTTAACTGCACCGCCATAGTGGAAATCGCTGCCGGGGCCAGCGAAAGCGCAGGGTCGGATGGGATCTGCCCAGGATCTTTCAGTGGGGTGACAATCCAGCAAATTCCTGTCAGTAATACCAATCACCAGATCGGCGACAACGTGAGCCCGAGCAAAGACACCAACGAGAAGAGTTCTGTTTGTGCCTCCGACAACAATAAGCCAACAGACCAGCAGACGCAGGCCGAAGGAGAGTCTCGCAGCCAGGAAGATAACCCTGCCAACGTGGGTCTCGATGGTACACGGTTCATGGGCTACGCCGTACACACCGTCGGTGAGGACGACAACTCGGAAGAATCTAATCCCCCCCCGCGGGCCACTCTTGCCAGCCGAGCGAACGGTCCCGTACCACTTGAGCCGATCTCTGTACCGACGAACAACACAGGGCACGACTCTCCTCAGATGGAGCAATCCAATCGGAATATGCTGCCCTGCGCCAATGTGCCGCCGACCGTCATTGATGAGCTGCAATCATCACCGACCCAGGTGGCCGGGTCCGTTGTTCCGCCAAGACTTGTGAGCGGTGAGGACTCTGTAGCTGGAGAAAGTATGGGGACTCGCCCGCCAACATGGCCCTCTCCTCCTACTTTGGATCGCAGCGAGGAGTTCATCGGCCCCAGCTTTGGGGGCATCAATTTCCCCATACACGACAATAATCCACGCAGAATTAGCTCAACTGCCACCACAGAAGGCGACTGCATCAACATACTCAGCAATCTGCGAAACTTGAACTACCTGCCCGATCCAAACGATACCATTACCAGCAATCAGAATGAAAATCGACATGTGGGATCGAACATTAATTATACTTCGGATCCAATGCCGCCGACCGTCATTGAAGAGCCGCAATCATCACCGACCCAGGTGGCCGGGTCCGTTGTTCCGCCAAGACTAGTGAGCGGTCAGGACACTGTAGCTGGAGAAAGTATGGGGACTCGCCCGCCAACATGGCCCTCTCCTCCAACTTTGGATCGCAGCGAGGAGTTCATCGGCCCCAGCTTTGGGGGCATCAATTTCCCCATACACGACAATAATCCACGCAGAATTAGCTCAACTGCCACCACAGAAGGCGACTGCATCAACATACTCAGCAATCTGCGAAACTTGAACTACCTGCCCGATCCAAACGATACCATTACCAGCAATCAGAATGAAAATCGACATGTGGGATCGAACATTAATTATACTTCGGATCCAATGCCGCCGACCGTCATTGAAGAGCCGCAATCATCACCGACCCAGGTGGCCGGGTCCGTTGTTCCGCCAAGACTAGTGAGCGGTCAGGACACTGTAGCTGGAGAAAGTATGGGGACTCGCCCGCCAACATGGCCCTCTCCTCCAACTTTGGATCGCAGCGAGGAGTTCATCGGCCCCAGCTTTGGGGGCATCAATTTCCCCATACACGACAATAATCCACGCAGAATTAGCTCAACTGCCACCACAGAAGGCGACTGCATCAACATACTCAGCAATCTGCGAAACTTGAACTACCTGCCCGATCCCAACGATAACATTACCAGCAATCAGAATGAAAATCGACATGTGGGATCGAACATTAATTATACTTCGGATCCAATGCAGATGCCGTCCTCGATGCTTTTGCCGATTACAACTTCCAATTCCAACATGTTCATGCGGGCCCCGCAAAACACCAGTCCCATAAATCGTATGATGCGGATGCCGCTTCCAACACCAACTGCTGACTCCAATGTCATGCGATTAAATAATATGATGCCGACGCTGATGCCTATGCCCCGTCCAATGGAAATTTCTGAAACTGATCTCAGCGCCGTTTTCATGCAGCCGAGTAGTCTGCTGATACCGAGGCCAATACCGGCTCCGATGCCCACTCCCGAGTCCAATGACATGGTGATAGATGAATTGTCCATGATCCCGCTTCCGCTTCCGAATCCCCAATCCCATATCGTTGTGTCCGATAGTACAGGCGAGAGAGAATTATTCGTGCAAGCCACAAGAAGCCTTCCGCTTCCCATGCTTAGTTCCACTCACAATGTCATGGCGATCCCGGATAATGATCGTGGCGCAAGCAACGATGCCGTGCAACCCGATATCTCTACGAATCCTTCGATTTCAATACCAGTACCGCCCCACATGCCTCTTCCCAGGCCCATTGGCATGTTAATGCCTGAAACGGATCGTAGCGAAAATAACAACGTGTTCATGGATGCCGAGATGCCACTACCGTTTTTGATTCCACCACGTAATGGAATGGGGATGCCATTGCGTCCGGATCGGTCGCCTATGCGTCGGATCTTCTACCAAATGGCGCACAACCTAAATATTTTGAATTTGAACGGGACTGTGCAACCTCCCTCGAGGGAAAATTTCAACATAAACTTTGGCTTTGGCTTGAGTCTGGGATTGCCATTGGATATGGACGTAGGTGTGCCGCCTCCTGACCTGATGCCAGAAATTATACCCAATCTGAACGAGACGTTATCCATCGAAGGAGGAGAAGCAATCGTAATTCCAGATATCGACGTACCAATCGCCCCCGCAACAGAATCTTCAGTCAATTCTACCCATCTTGACCCAATGCTCCTGCCGGTGTTTGAAGAGGAGCAGAGTGGTAGTGATCCATCCTCAAGTGACGAGATCATCTTAAGCACAGAGTCCTCGCCCAGAACCATATCTTCTAGCTGGACGACTGAGGAAGAACGATCCATCACCGGCACAGAATACCTGGATATCAACGGGCCCACCAATACCAAAACAGAATCCCCAGTGAACAACACTACTGACAGCCCAATAGACCAGACGCTTGGGGGAGATCATTACAGCATTGATCATGGTGCCAGTAAGGAGTCAGCAGAGCACAGCCATATTGGTGAACACTTCAGGGAGAACTCAACTGCAATGGGTATGGCGTTGCAGCAAAAGGATAGCAACATTGTTCCGGATTTAACGCTAATGCCTTCGACGACGGAAGAATATAGGAGCAGCATTGATCAGGACTTGACATTAGTGCCTCCGACGATTGAAGTATATGGTAGCAGCGTTGATCAGGACTTGACTCTAATGCCTTCGACGACAGGAGAAGATGGATGCAGCATTGTTCTGGACTTGACATTAGTGCCTTTGACGATTGAAGTAGATGGAAGGAGCATTGAGCAGGTCTTGACATTAGTGCCTTCGACGACGGAAGAAGAGGGGTGCAAAATTGATCAGGACTTGACATTAGTGCCTTCGACGACGGAAGAAGATGGGAGCAGCATTGATCTGAACATGACATTAGTGCCTTCGACGATGGAAGAAGATGGGAGCAGCACTGATCAGGACTTAGCATTAGTGCCTTCGACGACAGAAGAAGAGGGGTGCAAAATTGATCAGGACTTGACATTAGTGACTTCGACGACGGAAGAAGAGGAGTGCAACACTGATATTGACGAACCCATCGCCACCGCAACCACAGTTGACGGGACCATTTACAACCCATCTCTTTTCAACGGATCCATGATAAGCACAGAATCCACGTTTAGTCCCACCTTTTGTAGCAGGACGACTGGGCATGGGCCCACCGATACCAGAACAGAATCCCCAGTGGATATCACTACTGACAGCCCAATAGAACAGACGATTGGGGGAGATCATTACAGCATTGATCAAGCCGCCAGTGAGGAGTCAGCCGAGCAAAGCCATATTGATGAACACTCCAGGGAGAACTCAATACCGATGGGTCTAGCGTTGCAGGAAGAGGATAGCAACATTGCTCTGGACTTGACTCGAATGCCTTCGAAGACGGAAGAATATGGCAGCAGTATTGACGAATCCTCAAGCGAGAGGTTTACTCCACCGGTAGAAAATACCAACATGGATCAAGCAGTAATTGGAAACTGCACTCAAGACTCCACAGAGGATTCCGCGGCTAAAAAAGATATCGCATCCCAGTAAAGACACGTCTAAACAAACACTAACATCTACAGACTGAACAACAAAGCGAGCTTACTAAAGCGGGTTACTATATTTTTAAGTTTATTTTCAAAATTTGTTTGTAGTTTTTATATCTCCATTTGGACTCGTACCACAATATGCCTTTTTATCTGGTGCACTATCCACCATAGGTAAGTTCTTGAGCTCTTTTGTTAAACTCTTAACCAACTCCGATAATACATTTCAGCAGCGAGCAAAAACAAGCGAGATCAGATAGATCCAACCTTTGAGACTGGCACCAGGGACCTGATCCACAATCGACACTCAAGACTGTTCAAAAGAATCTAAATTTGTGTATACTATTAATGTATCGAAACATTTGAAAACCTTTAGAATAAACACCAGACACCTAGCCACTAAAAAACTATTCATCTCTTTTTCTTCTCCACTTAATGGTGAATCATTTCATATTCATTTAACAGAGCGGGAATTGCAAGTCGCGCATTACTCGGGCTCAGATTCTGTACTATTTCGTATGATTATCCTACGCGTATGCGGAACGAAAGGAGCGAAACGAGATGATGAACTCGTTTCACGTTTGGTGGGGTGGGGACACCCCTCACCACCCATACAAGGAAATATCTTTTTACGCCATGGAGTTCTCAAGTGAAACCCTCGCCAGGAAAAGTGTGGAAGAAAACTTTGAACCCTTTGAACTCGCGGACGGAATTTCCGATGCAATGACTCGGCTCGGCTGGGAATGCCCTCGAGCTGAACTAATCGGGCTAATCTTTTACGCTGCTTGCATTTTAAAGCGTCCACGGGACCCTCTCTGGCGGAACTCCACTCCACACCGCGGACCGGGAGGATGTGGTGGTCCCGCATCCGTGAATTTGGCATGCATGCTTACGCCCGCTTTCATGTGTGCCCTGCGCTGCACTCACAGGGGGAATTTGAATGTGAATGTAATTAAATGCACAAGTCAAAGCAAATACGAAACAAATAAAAATTTAAAGGGCAAACAAAGCGCCATTGTTATGAGCCTCAGCACAGTGGAGGCTGCCTATCAGAAACGAAACGGAACCCTGGTCTAGGCTCCTCTTTAGATCCCCGCCTCTGTACGAGTGCTCACTTTCCGTCCGCCCGAGAGAGCTTTGCAAGTAGCAGTAGCCCACAGTTTGACCACAAATTTAACGCTTCCCTGAACCCCAGCCGCATTGGCTACATTTTTAATCTACAATTAACCGCTGCTGCGGTGGGGTGAGCGATTGAGGTTGCATTCGGGGTTTGTGTTGGAGTTCGTGGTCGTGGTCGTGGTCACTGGCCAGTATCAATATTGATTCTATTAATTATAAAAACATTAAGTGGCAGCCAACAAATGTAATTAAACGCATTAAACAATTGCAGTGTGCGAGTAATGACAGAAAAATGCACAGACCCAACTGTGGATACTGCCAGCACACCCAATACCAACACCAATACCAATCGCGCAATCTCAATCGCAGTCGCAGTCATCCAATCCCAATCCCAGCCAGGCTCCAATGCTCTACAAATGCTCGTCCATTGCTGATGCACCGCGATAAGCACGTTTTCAATTCACACAGCACCGCACGGCACCAGAGGAGCAGGTGGAAGCTGGACATACGGATGGCTCTCAGCGGAGGAAGGATTCCATTTGGTGTGTGGAGGGGCTGTGTGGGGCGTTGGGGAGGTGATCGGATTGTCGCACATTAATGACGAAATTATTGTTTCAATTGCTTTCAACTGTTGTCAATGCAAATTTTATGCAAATACTTTTCGCGTCCGTTTTCCACCGTCTACTGTCCACTGTCCGCTGTGCGGTTCTCGGTGCTCGGTGACGGTGGGGCTCTCTTTTAAATGCAATGTCATTATGGCCAATAAGTCAATAATAATTATTGCCTGATGCTGTCCATTGTTTGGGACTCGTGCTCCTGCTGTCTCGCCATCCCATCCCCATCCCCTTCAACTGGTTCAGTATGACCATTTCGGAATAGGCGTTAATTACTTTTATCTGTACATTGCCAAACAAACAAAATAAAAGCAACGGCAACAGCACCAGCAACGACAACGACAACCACAAAGGCCACGTTGAGGGATTGTGGCTCATAAATTCGCTTGGCATATATATTTATTTATAAACAATTATTATTATTGCTATTGTTCCCGATTTGTTGCCGATGTGGCTCCGACTGCGCATAAATTAAGCGCCACAATTGTTATGCAAACCCATTTTCACTTTCTATACGCTTTCCCGGAGAAGTACCGTCGCTGCGGCAGGACATCAGACTCCTCCGAGAACAGTACGATGGATAGGATACTGGTGTTCCGATAGGGTGTTCTAGTCTTCGACAAGGCCCTCTGGGTGATGGAACTCACCCCACTCTTCGGTTTTAATTTTTTTTATAGCGCCACGAAATATTTATGCGCTAATTTATAATTACAGCGAATGTGTTTGTTTGCATTCTAAATTGGACAGACAACGCGCGAGATTTTCGGAGGGTGGAGGAACTGAAACACCATCGCCATCCCCTGAAGCTCTCATGGATCTCAGTCAACAGCGAACAAGTCATTGTTCTGGCAGAGAACTGAGCTTTTCTCGGAAAGCCATCTGCAACATTTGGACTAGCATAGTCTTGGAATGTCTCCAAGGGTCATATAATATAATTAAGGCTATGAATTACTTGAGCGCTTCGCATCCTTCCTTCCAAGGTTCATGCGGGGCCCATATCACGATGTTTCTGCTCAGCTACGGCTTTTCGCCTGTTCCACAACGATGATACCCTAATGCTGGGAGAAGCATCAACAGGGTTTCAAACACATACGAGGCGACGAGACTGAAGTGGTACGTGGTGGGTCCTCGCAGTTGCGTCCTTGCCGCAGAGGGTCAACTGTTGGGGCTGTCCGTGCACTGTCCATTGGGGGGTATTCCAACACGTTGCTGCTTGGTCAGCCACATGCACTTAATTGCTTTATGAGACGGTCAGTAGCATGTTATAGACTTCAATTTGATTTTTCTGCGCGGCGAGAGGCGCGAGGGAGTGCAAGGAAACACACCGAAGAATGGGGCATGTGTGTGTCTGTATGACCCTGTGTGAGAGGCAAATGAGACATTGGGGATCAATTATTTTTTGTGCAGAGCAGGAGCTGGGCTGGAGGGCACATTGCCACAGGCTAGAGACGTCGGCGTCGAAGCCGTTGACCTCAAACGATATTTTAAATGTTGATTTTGGTATGCGAAAGTTTTTTAATCATTTTGATGGCTCCTCATTGCCCTGATGATAATGATGATGATGATGATGATGACGATGACGATGACGATGACGACGATGATGATGATGCTGATAATAGTAATTGAAAGACGAAGGCGAGTGGCATGGTTACTCCGATTGGGAACACGTCACTGCTCGACAACTTTTTTATGTCAGTTCTTCGCACTTTTTCCACCATGGTGCGGAAAGAAAGTCGAAATTTAGTCGAAAGTCGGCTCTTCCACACCCTTTTGTGGTTCGTATTGGATATATGTGGCATACCCCGGCTCTCGGGTCGAGGCATTCCGTATACCCCAGCGATACCTCTTCAGGTGAGGAAACTTTTCCGGGACGTTGAAGTTTGTAATGGCTTTTGTTTGCGACCCACGCACACAAATCATTGCAACCCTTACCACCTCCATGTTAGAGGAGCACGACCACCCCCGGAAGCTCCAGAGGTGGAAGTTTCCATGGCTTCCATGGCGAAGAAGGTCTTTTGATACAAGTTTTCGGCAGGCATTCCATTTTTTCTTATTCCTTGTACACTGCGAGGACATGTGCATGTCTGAGCCGGATTCCTTACGGGGTATTGCAAACACTTAACATAATTTGGTGCCCCCATGGCAATCGCAGGCTGAGTGTCTGCCGAGGCAGGGGAGACTGACCAGTGTCCAGGACAACGCCTCGGACATGCCAGAGACAGAGAGGGGGCCATTCACATTCACATTCTGATTATATTAAAATTGTTGCACATCATTTCATTTGCTTTGAGAAATGTCTCGTAAGTCTTTTCACGGCCCGGGGGATAACTAGAGAGGGGGAAGTTTTGGAAATTGGAAAATAGGCATAAGTATGAGAACTATTGCCATGGCCAGGTAGCAGTACATATGAGCATATGCCATTTTAAGTGGAGAGGCAACTCCCATCCCATCGCAACGCACCCCATCCCCCTCTTTCTATTGCTCTTGGCCCGGATCGATGTGAGAGTTCTTTCTTCTCAGGGTATGTGTGCATTATGGGGTACACGGTATTTCCATTTTGCCACTTAACTCAGCCAAAGTCAATTATAATCAACGCCTCAGTCTGCACCCTCCACCCTTCCAGAACTGGGACAAGGGAACTAGAGCTTCTTCGTCCTGACGCAAAAAGGATTAAAAAGCATCAGGCAGAAATGCTGGGAAGGCAATGGGGGGACAATGTATGGGTTAACGTTAACTTATGCAAAAGTGTTTTAAGACTTTGGCTGATTGCCACCCAATGTGGGGGGATAGCTGCTGGCACTCTCCTGCAGAACTGGGGAGGAGGTGCAGGCGCGGTCGATTGAGACTGAGCTGGGAACGGGCTGGTAACCTTCCCGATATATGCATATGGATGTCTTAATCTGCTCGACAGTTAGAGCACATTTTCGTTAGCTTTTTTGCCTGCCAGCCAGCCACCTCTCTCTCTCTCTCTCTCTCTCTCTCTCTCTGTCACACATACAGCTCCAGCCGTATCCGTTTCTCATTACCGTCCATAAATATCGCACCGAAAGTGTCAGTTTTCGCACTAGCCAAACGCAGTTCATGGCCTGCAAAAAGGATAACCGCAGTCCAGTCCTCTCACCTCCCTCTTTGATGATGCCCTGATATCCACCGCAAACTTAATTGCTTTCCTCCGTCCAGCAGCAGCAGCAGCAAAGCTGCAGTACCAGCAGTTTGGACTTCTTAATGTGTCCCAGGTCCAGTGCAGCGGGAGAGCAGTCGCTCCATTTCTGCGTTCTGTGTTCTTATCGCGGCAGGGCCAAAAAACCATCAAAAGCATCAACTGAGAGTGAAGAAACAGCCCAGTCCCAGCAGCCCAGTCCCAGTCCCGCTTCTCCATCTCCATCTGCCCAGATTCAGATTCAGTTTGTGTTTCTGTTTCAGTTGCGGTCTGTGGAACGCAAATTATATGCAAACGAGCTTAATATCCGGCCAAACAGAGCCACGGCACACACACCCAGTAGCGCATCCGAGGGGGAAGGAGAAGAGAGGAGTGTCCTGACGCAGGCATACTCCGTAGTTGGCCCCATGCCCGTCC